TATTCCCCTGATCCCAACATAACTCAGCGCCACAATTCACTCAACGCACCCGACACCAGTTTTATATTATATATAGATGCTTTTTTTTGTGAGGTCAAGCCCTAGTACGTCGCATTGGCAACTTTAAAAAAATAATTAGTATGCATTAGAAACTTTAAAAAATAATTAAATTCCCAATTAAGAAGTTCAAACAAGTAAAGGGTTATAATTGTTTTATAAGAGCTTAAATAACTATTATAAAACAACATCACTATTTAGTAAACGTTCCAAATAAAATATTTGTATTAACACAACCAGGTCATGGGACACTTACATTTCACAGCATTTCTTTTTTGCTTAATCAGTTAAGTGTAGATTGATACAAAACTAAATTCAGGTATACGCCAAAATGAATCCTTGTATTCAAGTAAATGTGGGGAGAATGGAGATTGAACATGTCACTTTTTCATAAAAGGAAAAACAGCTTGTCAGGGAGTAACTAATTCCGAACAATTGATATGTTGTTAAGAGATAAAAGGAAATCGACACAACCAATGTGGTTTCAGAAATATGAAGGATCAATAAGTTAATTGTATTTATTAACTTCATAATCAGGACACACTAATGCTTCTGACATGAATGGATAGCTTTCAGTCAGGAAATGAGGATTTTTTTAAATAACATATCCTAAAACTTGTCTCATGAATCACTGAAATGCATTTGACAACCCGCATATGTTTTAAAAGTATCGACTTGTATTTTGAATTTATACAAAATTTACTTTGAGGCTATACACAGAGGCGTAGCGTGGTGGGGCAGGGGGGCAGATGTCCCCGGGCGCCAGCTAGTTAGGGGCGCCAAAATGTGCTTTGATATTATTTTATTGATGAAAATAATGGGTTTGAGAGTTGAAAGAAAAGAAAAAGAGGCGCTAAAAATGGATCTTGTCCCCGGGCGCCAAACACCCTCGCTACGCCACTGACTATACATATTTAAGGGACGAGAATAAGCTATGGAAAAAGCATACCCCCCAAGGACGCCATGACTGGAATGGATTTAGTTCATGTTGGGCTGGGGCGGAGTTAGAGATTTCCTCCATCGTTATTTTGGAGCCTCCCACCCGAAAGTTTGAAATGCCCATCTAAAAATTGTCTGAAAGAAACAACGAATTCAAGTATGCATACAAAAAATGAATTCTGAATTTTGAATTTGCTCAACTGTCTTCGGCACCCTCAATTTCGGCAACCCCCCCCCCCAACCTTCCCTCACGCTGAACAATGTTACAGTATTGGGTTGAATATAAGTGTGAGCCAAATGTTTACTCTGGGGCACGTCACAATCAGTGGGAATTTAGTTCATGTATGGCACCAGGCGCCATAACCCCCACCCCGAACACTTAAAATATAAATTGCTTCCCCGATCAAAAAAAGTCTAATAGAAACAAAAGATCAGTTTAACTCCAAAATGCACATCTTGATTTTGAAATAATCAAACATATTCTGGTGAGGGGGCTCCCCAGACCCACCTTCCACTCAAGATTCAAATGCGCCCTCGAATTCTGTCCTACTTTCCGATGAAAATGATCACCCATTTTTGTGCTGATACATACACTGCATTAATGGTGGCGTAACTTGTATTAAAGCTGCCATGAGCGGCTCATTTATTTGTTTATTTTTTTGCCGTTCTCCCTTTCACGATAAAAACTGCAGTTGTCAAAAATGCTGCACCTCCATATAATGCAGAGGTTCTCCACCCAACACGGTCGTTGAATTTGACCTACGGGTTAGATTACCACAACATGGCATGAACGGCTTCTTCCCCACCACTTAAAATACTTTGATGTAGGTAACCACTATTTTTTTTTTTTATATAAGTTCAATAATTTATTTCGCGGGAACCCTTGGGGTATTATGCTTTAAATTATAAATTGTCTAAAAGGGTATTTTGTCTCTTTACCTTAGTATATTTGCAAGTCTACATCTTTAGAGGATATTGCAATATTAAGACTACTCCATCCACCCCATGTATACGCCACTGGCAGGGCCGTAGCCATAGTATTTGGTGCCAGGGGATAAGATTCACTTTTACGCCCCACCCCTTCAACTCTGAAACCCATTATTTTAACCCATTAAATTACACCAAATAGCCTATTTCGGCACCCCCTAGTCTGGGTGCCCGGGGACGACTATCCCATCTGCTCTCCCTTTACTAGGCATCTGGCAACTGGTACGGCCCACCCTAAAATCTGAAATGCCCCCCCCCCCCCCAAACACGTTTTGTTTTTACTGGTCATTTCAATATGAATTCAAGTTCAAAGAAGTATTTTTTGTATTTTTGGGAGCCTATTCCGATTCTCCCACCCCTTCCACCCCGAAACCCATTATTTTAACCCATTAAATTACACCAAATAGCCTATTTCGGCCCCCCCTAGTCTGGGTGCCCGGGGGCGACTATCCCATCTGCTCTCCCTTTACTAGGCATCTGGCAACTGGTACGGCCCACCCTAAAATCTGAAATGCCCCCCCCCCCCACCAAACATGTTTTGTTTTTACTGGTCATTTGAATATGAATTCAAGTTCAAAGAAGTATTTTTTGTATTTTTGGGAGCCAATTCCGATTCACATCTTATACTTAATAGTATAGGTAAGTTTATTTATTATATGTATTCTGTATAGTCTACATTGTGGTTTTCGTTAATTAATGGTGGCACAATCAGAGACCGCCCCAGGCGTCACAAACTCTAGCAATTCTACTAAATTGGAAGTTTAAATATTTTCAATTTAGAACTGTCAATAATTGGTTTAATTTTTTTTTACGCACAGATAAAAGCTGAATTAAAAAAAACAATAACACAGAATTGAAGTATGCTGTGGTAGTCTATTAGGTTTGCTATAGAATTTCAATATTGGGAAAGCAAGAGGGGAATATGATTAAAAGTAATGATTTTACAGATGGTATTGGAACCGTTCATAAAATACGGCACACTCTTTTTTTTTTTTTTTTTTTTTTTACAACTTCGACCCCGCCCCCCGGTCACAAATCTCATACCCCCATCCCCTTTGTTTTACAGTAGCCTACTCAAACGTTAGAACTAAAAAAAAATTAAAAAATCAAACACACTTATTAATTATTATTAAACGTTTACATTTATAAAAGTGAAATCTTCTGTTAAAATTATGAGAATGCATTCATCGCAACAGAAAGTTCAACATCGCTGTGAATTTCAGGTTTAATAATTAATATGTATCATAATATTTAAAAAAAATAACATTGTGACCACACACGAGATCACAAACTGTCACGTTTTCTTAGTCACCCTTCAGTCCCTTCTCCCCTCTGGAGCGTGACGTACTTTGTGGATGGCACCACTGAAAAAAAAGGAGGGGGGGGGAGAAGAACAAAATTCTAATAAATTGAGCTAAAATTTACTTATTTTTTATTGAAAAAAAAAACAACAAACAAACAAAAAAAAAACTCCGATGCAGCCCTCTCTCAGGTTCGCCACTGACTTTTTAAGCTCTAGGGCAGGCCTCCCACTTTCTTTTTAAAAATTTCACAAGATTTGGTCATGAAATTTCCCAAAATTTCCCAAGATCATAAAAGTATATAGCAGGTTTTTTTTAAGGTGGGGGGATGGGGGTGTTCCTATGTCCTTTAATGCAATAATAGATTGAATTAATGCCCCTGAAACACATGGTACAATAATTGACTGAAATTTATTGAAAAAGACATTTTTTAAAAAAAATGTATATTATTTTATTTTTCAAAATATCAATACCCACTGGAGTTAGGCTACTAAATGTTACCTCCAAATTCTCTGGTAAAAATATCATCTACAATCCACGTGTAATAGAAGTCACTTGGAAACAAAGCTCACAAGGCTAATCAACACACAATTCCTTTTACAAAGGCAAAAGGTTTTCATAAAAAAAATGTGTTTTCTTATTGTAAGTCTTTTGATTAGTAATTGGTTTGCTAAGCTATTAAGCAAAATTTGTTAATAATAATTGTAGTTAAAATGGATTGATTGTATTATGAATGCAAGAAGTATTTTAATTTTTTCTTGTAAATTTACATTATAATGATTTTTTTCAAACAAAACAATGTTTAAAGGAATTTTTCATTTATTTCCTACAATGTATAATTTTTATATCTTATTTACCTGTGTGTCAATCCACAAATATTTTTTTCCAATAGATGAAAATTAGACTAGATTTGTTAAAGGTGCATAATATTTTGAACACATTGTATAAGTAATTGAAATAATCCAATTTTACTATGGGTTCTTGATAGAACACTATCATTCACTCTTTGGTTTGTACTGTTTTTGTATGGTTGCTAATGTCTTATATGCATGATAAAGTTTCCGAGCATTCCGCCCGCACACCCCCCCCACCCCGTTTAATAAACATTTAACACCTGGATGTAATTTGCAAATCTTCAACTTAAAAAAAAGAGAAAATTAAATTTGTCTTTAATTATTAACTTGTTATTAATTTACAATATTAACATTTATTTTAGAAGAGTTCTTATTTATTTAGTTAGAAATGGTTTTAAAAAAAGAAAAGAAAATTTAAAAAACTAATTTTTTCCTTGTTACTTTAAAAATTATTTTGCTTTATTTTCACTTTATTTTTTTATCACGTATATTGTTTGCGTTTTTTCGAAAAATATAATAAAATCTTCCTCCCAGTTAAGATTTCCCAAGGTTTTGCCTGATTTTCAAAATTATTCCCCAGATCCCAAGGGGGGTCGTGGATTCCCAAGATCTTGGGAAATTTCCCAAGGTGTGGTAGCCCTGCTCTAGGGTAGAATATTATTACATTAGCCAGGTAAACTAGTTTATTGGAACCTCGGTAACTTTCTTGAAAATAAGAATAAAACACCAACACTAATATCAAAATGACGTGTTTTTTTTCTAAAATGTCTAATTTTCACATAGCCATTTAGGAAAAATATTGTTAAGAAACAATTGTAGCAATTATAAATTTATCATTCACTTAAATAATAAACGTTTGACTGACAGATTTTGAAAACGTAGAGAATCTTGGAAACTATTGACATCCGTTTTCTCAATAATATTATTTATTGAGGTAGAGCTTCCTTTTATTTTCAATTTCTATGGTCATTCTGATATTTAAAAAAATTGATGTAGCTGATTTTCCTACATATTATAAAGTATGCTTTCAAATTTAGTAAAGCAACACCAATCCAGACAACAAGCTCGTAAAGAACTTCAAGGTAATTTGAAGTTTGGGCTAGTCCTAGTTACTCTCTTAGTCTTAGTCATAGTCTAACTAATACTAATTAATAACTACTAATACTAATAGCCTATAGTATAGTCAGTATAGGATAGTGTATAGTAATACTTATCCACTTATTAATACATTACTGTTACTTAGTTATTAGTTAATTTAGTCTTAGTACTCTTAGTAAAACTTCGTCAAATCTAATTTTAAATACTAATCAGAAATCATTAATTAGGACCTATAGCCTATGCCTATAGTATATAATAGGCATAGGCTATACTATACTAATACTATATTTATATTTCTTTTCTTTTTTTTTTTTGTTTCAATAAATCAATTCAATACATTTTCAAATTTTATATGTAATTAATTAAAAGAAAGTGTCTAAAAACTAATAACTTCTAGTTAGGTTAGGGCAGGGAACTATTTGTAGTAAACTACCAATAGGTTCTAGAGAGCTATTGGTAGTCAAGCCAATCAAATCAAACCATAATCAGAGCTTTTTCAGCTGGCGAATTATTGCCTCGTTCATTTATGACTAATTATAATAGTCTACTCTACAGTATAGTTTTAATTTACGAAGTGGATGAGTACACCGCGGCGGTGTACCTAGCGAAACCATCGGCTTTGGCCTGCGTAAACCGGGGCGCTGTATCTAGCGAAATCGTGGGCTTTGGCCTGGGTACACCGCGGCAAAAATGTACCATTGGTCTTGTTTTAAGATATGCTTGCTAGAGAAAATCTTGTGTGGTCAAGTGGTAGAGTGGACGCTTGGCGATAATATATTTTGAGATCAATTCCCAGTAGGAGATCGAGTTTTTTTTTACTCCCATTTTAGTTTTAAAATATTTTGTAGCAATTTAAACAATTTAAATATATTTTTAAATATTATATTAAATACGATATATATAGTGTGTTTCAACAAGTTGTGCCGTCTTTAGACTTTGAAAATACCGGTAAATTTAGTAATAACACATTAGACATTAGAAAACAAACTTAAAGTTTCTGAAAGCGCATTTATAGTGTATGTAAAATGTATAAGAGAAACATTATGAATACTAAGTGATATTCTATTGTATTTCAACAATCTTCGTGTAGTTGAATACTTACATTTTACTTTTACGAACACCCAAAGAAAATACCAGTATATCATTAATATCATATGACTATGAATATTAATGTCATTATTGTGCATGGTCGTATTTCAACCTTGAACCATCTTGCTTTCACTATGCCTTATGCATTGGCAAAATGTACACACGATATCAAAGGTTCATTCACAACAGTCAGTCTCACAGCAAATCTTTTGAAAACACCTCGATTTGAGAAGTAGCAAACTCTATAGCAAAGCCATAGGCATAGGTCTGCGTTTACCCTTTTCATGACGGAATTTGTTTCCAGAATGGCATGGCATGTGCTATTCTCAGGTTGTTTTTTTGTTAAGAAATCGATCCTTGCCGGGGGTGGGGGGGAGCTGGAGGTGAGTTATGGGCAGAGGCTTAACCAAAAAGAGGGCCTTCACAAATCACGGCTTTGGATAGGGGTTGTCCACAAAGGACGTCCGCACAACAAACTTACCTTTTGCATCCCCCCTCTGCCTGCATTTTTTACTAATGTGTAATGCCAATGTAAAACTAAATCATACGATATTTAATCATTGTTAAAAGACTTTTAAAAATCACTGCAGTGTTTTGTATTTATCATCATACTGTTGTTTTGTGGTGACACACACTTCCTATCACAATGACAATGCCTTGGACAACTTTAACTTCACGACTTCATGATCAATGTATGAATATGTGATTCTCGTCCCGTAGTGTATTTGCAGACCTGTTTACTCTTACGATTTTGGCGTACAATGTACGATTTTGAGGTGTTAACATGTATTCTGTATGTTTATTTTTTTCTATAAATATAAGGTATTGAACGATTTTGTGATAATATTGTACGATTTTTGGAGTCTGAGGGTAAACAGGTCTGTATTTGTGGCGTAATTATATCTTGGTGCTAACAAAATAGATTCACTGGCTTCCCAATCATTTTTACACCACGCCCCGAGGGATCACATACAATGTTATATTTATAATGCCCCCCCCCCCTAAACAAAACCCAGCAACAACACAACTGGGTGGGGGGGGAGAGAATAATTTCAAATTAGCTACCCTTTTTATGCCTATTAAGATTCACAATCATATGATAAAACTTACAACAATTAATAAATATATTTGTATTTCAATATATTGGGGGGGGGAATAAAGTGGTTAACTTTAAAAATAAATCATGGTTTAACATTACACCTCCAAAATAATAAGAAATGGTTTACAAGTACTTTGCCACATAAGCGTGGAACTTAATCAATATCTTCCCAAGGTGCTAAACGAATTTTAAATAAATAGTTTTCAGTTTTAACACGAGTATAACATTAAATCTACAAGTACCAGTTAGGCCAAAAAGTTAAAGAGTCGTTAAGACCATAGTTTTGCTACTTAAAATCGCTGCGGTGTTATTATTTAGCTAGGTACACCGCCGCGGTGTACGCAGGCCAAAGTCAATAGTTTCGCTAGGTACACCGCCGCGGTGTACGTAGTGCCGGCCTTTAATTTAAGACTGTCTTCTGTAGCCTTCCTCATGCTCAGATTTGGCTATATTGCTATATAATTATAATTTATAATATAGACCTAATATAGATAGATGTATGAATATGATCATTGTCTGAAAAATGTTACCGAGCTTCTTCTTTGCCAAGGCCAAAGTAATTATTATTATAAGTGCGTGGACGTGGTACCCCAGCCTAGGGCTGGGCTCACCAAGCTGTACATTCAATTTAACAAACATAACCATGAACTTAAAAAAATTAATTAACATACATTAATTAAATAAAACAAAACAAATGTATATTTAAAACTATTTACATGTATGGTAAAGCAATAGACGACACCCAGCAGCATCGTTTTTCGGTCAGCGGGAGGAATCAGTCAGGATAGTAGAGGTTAAAAAGATGTGTTTTGAGTGCAGTTTTGAAGGCTGTGCAGTAAAAATAAAATCCAACATAGGCCTACATACTTTAGAGTGATTTTAGGGATGTAATTAAAAATAAATTGTGACTACCAATATCATTAGAATTAGTCAATACTGCACTAATCAATCTATCACTATCATCAATTGATAGTTTTTTTATAGTAAACTACCAATAGTCACCTAGAAGCTACTGGTAGTGGAGTACCAATAGCTGCTATTGTAGTTTACTACAAATAGATCCCTACCAATAGCCACAGCCAATTAATAAATAGAGTTTAATTTAGATATTTAATTTATAATGTTAGGGTACAACTACCTACATTACAGTTCAGGTGATTACTTAAGTCTAACTTAGTCTAAGACTAAGTCAGTAAGTAACTTAGTCAGTAAGTTAATAGTAAGAGTATTCTGTAAACCATAGTTGTAGACTACTACTACTGTAGTTTTTTTGTAGAAAGTGAAAGACTTACCACTTACTAAGTAGAGATAACATAGAACAACTAATTACTAGTTTAAGTTAACTTTAGGCCTACCTACCTAAGTTAGATTTACAGGTAAATGCAGACAATAGTACTTCAATAGTAGGCTGTGGCCTAAATCAATAAATAATGGTAGAGAGCTTTCTCATTGTAAAAAAAAAAAAAATAACACAAACTAAAAGTAGAAACAGACATTGCAAAAAAAACCCAAAGATCGAGTCGGTTAGAAGCCTTCTTCAGCGAACAAATGAGTAACACAAACTAAAAGTAGAAACAGACAGAATGGTGGCACATTCACTTCTGTTTTGAAAAGTAAAACTATCTTTGCCTTATATGGGATTCAGGACTAATCCAGCTTTCATAATAAAGGCAAAGATTGCATGGTGGAGAAAACTATAATTGATTGAAATACTAATGAAAATAATCCTGATAATTTTTCAGCTTTTTATTATTAATGGAGAGGGTCTAGGGAGTCTGTACTGATACTGGGTTTCCACTTTATTTATGGTCATGATTTTGACGTCAATAACTGAGTCTTTGTTTGTGTTTGATTTCTATAATTAAACTAATACCCAGTACACTTAGGCCTGAATAAAATATTAAATGAGATGAACTGTAATTAAAAATGGTAGATTTTGTCATGAGAACATACATTCTTTCTATTACTTTTTTCAGATAAGCGAAAAAGGGATGCCATTGTGGCTGCCACAGCACTATCTCATGTACTAGTTGATCATCTAAATGCTGGGTAAGTGACATGAACTACTAGTTTTTAGATTTATAACTGTATGAATAGGGTATACCAGTATTTAAAATATTATTTTAGATTTAGAAAGCCAAACTATTAAGTTGTTACTATTTTGCTGTCATTTCCCTAACAGAGTTGCTCAAGCTTACGTTAACCAGAAGAAACTGGATACAGAGACCCGTATTCTTCAGGCCAACGCAGCTCAGTTCTCCAAACAAACAATGCAGTGGTTAAAACTAGTTGAAGATTTTAATACTGCTTTAAAGGTTGTCATTTTTTATAAGTAACATGAAAGGAAGCTTTTCCATGAGCTGTAATCATACAATAATGACCCATTTAAAAACTTGTTTAGTAATCTTGCATCTGCCATGACATAGTTTTTATTGAAAAGAATTAGAAGTCGGTGAAATAGCAGGGCAGGTTAAATTGTATTTATTTAGGTATTTGTTCATTAGTTAATATCAGACTATGTCTTATTTTGTGAAAGAAAAATGGGGAAAAGGTATGGGAAAGTCTAAAAAAGGATGCAAAAAAACCCCAAAGATCGAGTCGGTTAGAAGCCTTCTTCAGCGAACAAATGAGTAACACAAATATAAAAATTAAGATAAATACTGAGGAGGAATTTTAGGGACATATCGAAATATTGCGCAAGATGAACAGTGTACTACCGGTTAGTGATGGGACGATTAACCGGCATTGTATCGGAATAATCGAAATATCGGGATTTTTCCAAAGCATCGGGAGTCGGTATCGGAGCTGAATAATTCAGACCCGATTCCAATACCAAAACGATTCTTAACTGATTAACTGCCGTAAGCCGGTGACAGCGCAAAGTTTGTTTCGCGTTATAATATTCTTTATTTTGTTCCGAATAGCATATTGTAAAGCTTCAATAGCAAGTTAATAAACTTTTCTAATCAATTCTCAACTTTTATATTAATTAAATATGTTAATACCTGGGCACAGTAATAAATATTTGTAATAATGGCCAGGAATCGGAATCGTATCTGGAATCGTATCGGGAATCGGGATAATTGGGTAGAATCGGAATCCTATCAGAATCGTTAAAAATTTTGGTATTGTCCCATCACTACTACCGGTATCTCAAAACAATTCAAAAGATGCAACCAAAAGGGTTCCAGTAATGACTTGACCATCACTGCAATTGTTTCCTATCCCGCCAGGGTAAACTTTAAAAAACAAACCAATACACAATTTTGGAACATAGACACCACATGGCATGATGATGAATGTCATGTTCTCCTTCATTTGTTTAATCTTTTTACAACCAATCGCCATGGACTTATTTTTCCTCTCTTCCTTCCCCTTTTGCCTATATTAACTCTTATTGGGTACCTACTTAATCTACTAATGGTCTATTACATTCTTCTTGCTGTCCTCTCAGATACAACACTCGTTTGTTTACTTGAAAAGGTTTCTTGCCGACATGTTCTGGGCTTTGTTGCATGCTTTTTTTCAGTTTTCCCATATCGTTTCCCATAATTCTTTCTATATAACCTGATTGAGGTTTCTCCCCCATTATTATCATTGTTATTTTATGAGTTTAGCTGATGATTTTGTGGAAAGTGTTGCATGTTATTTTCAGTGTGTTAAGTTTGCTGTGCCATATAAATAATATTATATTGAGAAAAAAAATCATAATACAGTTTGACAAGAGAAATTCTATTGTCAGAGCTTGCTACTTGTTTGTAGTTCAGGCTTAATTTAGCCAGCTTGTACTACCATTACAAACAACACTTCAAAAATACCAGTACTTTTGATATTTTATGAATTATTGTAAGTTTTAAGCATTTAATTTAACTTTAAAAAATAATAATTTTCTCTCTCCTTCAATATTTAGGAAATAGGAGATGTTGAAAATTGGGCCAAAAGCATCGAAACTGATATGAGAACCATTTCTAGTGCCCTGGAATATGCATATAGTAAAAGTAAGTTTCTTTGGCTTTCTATAATTTCTAATACTTTTTGGGTTGTTTTCACTGATGCAAAAATAACAAAATCCATTGATGCTCAAAAATTTAAAAACCCATTTATGCTCAAATATCACATAAACTCAATGTTATTTACTCAGCTGTTTAAATTTCTTGTTAAATGGCATTGAACTTGAATTAACATATAGAATTAATGTACCCGGTACAAGGAATTTTCACAATTGTTGATTGCAACGTATTTTTCCTGGAGTTCCTGCAAAAATGTAGATACCGTACAAACTAAATGGTCCTCAAAATCTCAGCCTTACTAAATAAACCATTTGTCAACTGAGACACTTGAGACCCAAGGTTGTCAAAGTGGGAGATGAGGGGATTTCTGAAGTGATTACTGACAGACATGGACTGTGGAATAGAGTTTGAGATTTTAATGAAGTAGATATGAATAAAAACAAATTTTGAAAATTTGACAACACCATCTCAAATATTTAATGCTAAATCAAATGAATATTTTAACTCCATTCTGAGCCTAGATTATTTAATTTCCACATATATTCTTTAGCTTTCTGAACCAAAATAAATTTACCTCACCTACCCCTATGAATTATTGAAAAATAAATGGGGTTTGAGAAATTGTCGAAAGGGGAAAGTTCAGTTCAAAATACATCTGCATTAACACTTAAATTCATTACCATAATTATTTTTTTTTAACCCAGCTTTAGCAATCATTTAGTGAAGGTGAGGTTCTGCATTTATATGTCTTTATTATTCTTTGCTCAGGTTTTCACTTCTGTTGTCCATTTGCTTGACACAGAGCAAAGTGTTTATGCTTCATTTTAAAAGCACAAAGTACAAAAAAATAATTGGGCTAAAAAATTATTTCATTCTTTAGGACTATTAGGAGTTTAATATAAAAACAATTCCTGTCTTATTTATGATTAAACAACATCAGACCTGTTTACCTTTAAACTCTTAAAATCGTACATTATCATCATACAATCTTTCAATACATTATCTTAATAGTAAAAAAATAAACATACAGTATATATAATTATACACCTCAAAGTCGTACATTGTACGTCAAAATCGTAAGAGTAAACAGGTCTGCAACATTAGGATCATAATCATTGACAACTCTTTTTGGATAAATTATAATAATTATCTGGTCTCTGGAAAAGCCATGGTAAAAGTTCACTTGTCAATTCCAGCAATTCAATCTTTTATATATCTGTAAAAGCCAAGGTTTACTAGGTGAAGTTGATGGGCATCTATAAATTTAGATGGTGCTATGTCAATTCTTTTGCCACTCTTTAGGATACAAAAGAAACCATGAAAGTAGTTGACTTATAAAATTGATTTCAAAAGCAAATAGGAGATAGTTAATGAAGATAATTTTCTGAATGGCTACGGTAAGCAATTTTCACTTTATTATTTTGTATAAATTTATATATACAGCAAATATACCATTTACTTGAAATTGAAGCAATTTTGTTTTCACCCTGTACTTTGAAAAAAAAAAATTCTTAACATTTCCTGATTGTGTTTGTAGTCTTGAAGCTTCACTGCCTTTATTTTGGATTTTTGTTTGTTCCTAGCACTGAACATTAGATTTTTGTATTTATTAATTTCTCCATAATCGTCAGCTTGTTGAGATGATTTCTTCTTTATTTTGAGGGCCCATGATCAATGAATTGATCATTCTGGCTCCTATGTTTCATTTGATCAATTTTGTAAAAAAAAAAAAGAGATGTCATACTTGATTTATCCTGGAGAAACAATACATGTAACAATGCTACAGCTGGTTAAAATAGCTAATTTTATATCAATACTTCTGCACTTTTTATTAAGTTTTGAAGTACCGGTATATCATTTGAATCACCACTAAATATTGATTACTTCTTTCTTGCTAACTTAAGTTCACTTGAAATCACAGCAAATAACATGTATTCTTCATTATACATAAATAAAAAATTCCTATCTAACCATCATTGTTAACAATAAAAATATGTTCTCACATAACATTTGAAAATATTCTGGCTTTAACTTCTTCAAGTTTAATAATAATAATATGCATACAAAATTATGCTTTGCGCTGTTAAATGAACAGTATAAGCAGATTAAATGAGGGGACTGTTCCTAGGCAACCATTTCGTCCCAGCTACGGTGTGACTTAATCATAAAGTAAAAATCATGTGTAGAAATCCCTACCAGTGGGCGTCTGACGCCAAGTTTTGGGGGACGTTAAAATATATCCAAGCCCTAGAAAGTTCGACTGCAGTGATGTGAGAGCACCACCAGTCGACCAGGTGTTCCTTCATTTATGCCGCCCCACTCGCATAGTCAATGAGTGGGGCTGTCCCAGTGGCTGAATACCCCTGATGTGCAGCTTTCTGGCCCGACTAGAATTACTCTAGTTAGGTTTGGGAGGAAGAGGGGGTACATTAGGGAAGACTTAATGACCCCAGTCTCGATAGTTTGATGTTTTTCTTATTAAGAGAGTTAGTTAGTTAGCAGATTAAGTAATTTTATTCAATTTTTAAAGCTGGAATATCTAGTAGTCACTGTGGTGATGTTCTTCCTATCACACTGGTTGAACCCTTAATTTTTCATGTTGGGTACCCATGTGTGGAAACGGGGGTCAAGCTAAGGCTGACAATATATAACACCAATACTTTAGAAGCTTAGACTCCTGCAAGAGTCATACCAGATAATTATTTTTCAAACCCCAATTTTCTGGGGTGTTTCTTAGTTGCCTGCCTTGATTCCTTTAGTGCTGGGTGTCATATTCCAAAAGATTGTAATTTTTCCCATGTTTTAGTTTTAGTATAAGATGTTAAAATAAAAAACAAAATTAAGTATTAACAAGCCAAAGCTGAGATGCATTATATTAATATTGCTTTTAAGTTTAAGGGTTTACTTTTAGTCAGCCTTTAATTTTTTTTTTAAAGTGGAAAAACAAAATTATAAAAATTATACCGGTTTAAAAAATTTAAACTAAAATTTGTTATAATTAAATAGGGGTGACATAACAGTTTATTCTTACATCTAAATGAAAAGTCACTGAAATGAGTGGGACTAAATTGGCTTCAGACAGAAAAACTTCAGATTGTTCTCAGATTTTCAGTCAGTTTTTGGACATGTATATTTTTTCTGTAATCTCTATTCTTATCTATTTTTTTCTAGCTGAATGACAATTTCACTAGAAAAGAATGAAGTAAGACCATACTGAGCACTCAGCTGATCTACCAACTTTGAGGACCAAGATTTGTTATCAAAATCCTTATGATTAAAATTGTTTCTCTGTCACAAGTACTATCTATATAATTTATTATAATATAGCCCACATAAGTGCATGTATTATTATAGTTTATTGTATTTGTATTGACACTTTGTCTTGATTAATAAAGCTGTTTTTGTGCAATAATTTTAACCTATTTTTGCATTTCATAAGTTAATGATGAATTATGGCATGAAAGTATTGTAATGATGATATTAAATAATGCTTTAATTGTATTTTGGTTTGTTTTATTTTTTTTTTAAATGATATGTTCCATAGAGAATGCTTTGTGAAAATGATATATATTTTAAAAATGATCAATAAATATCCTGATTATAAGATGTCAACCATGTTGTTTGTATAACTTCACCCCAATTACTTAATCTTGAAAAATAGCACAATATACAAATTGAAAGGAACTAGATGACTAAAGATTATAAAAAGTCGGGCCAGTAGCTCATGGGGTACTGATATTGACCACACTACTCCAACAGCAGCATGTGAAGTACATCCTTTGCAGTTATGAAGCAGAAGCAACTGCCACTGAGGCAGCACTACATCACCTGTTCGCAATTTTTACAGACATTACAGCAACTACTGTATGATTTCTACTTCTGATAAGTACCTTCCTCAAACCTATGCAGTCATGATAACCTTACAATAGATACCAGTAACTAACAATGTACAGGGAAATGAGAGAGCAACTAGCAAAGCATGGAGTATACAATGAACTGCCAAAAAATACCTACATTACTCAACACTACCAATTAATTTCCTCCAAAGACATGAACAGAAAAACTGGTCTTATTCCTTTGATGTACAAATTAATTCCCACAGTAATGGCATGAAATCTAATGCAACACCAATGTGCCCCTAAGCCAAAACCCACAAAGAAGCATCACTCCATGACTTAATAACCTACCAAAAAATGCCAAACTGCTGCAGAGTATTTAAATGTTTTACTATTACCATGACCTCAGGCTCAAATGGTTTCTGGATGATGATGTCTGACTTCAGTGATTATATTTAATATAGCAAAATAAATCAAGAAACAATATAGGTACAGGTACTTTTTTCCCTCACATAGCATTTATTGAAAATGGTGGATCCAATGAAAATAATGCTCCCTCTGGAGCTATTTTGTGGTTTATTTTCTCCCTCAGAAGATAGCATTTAGAACTAGATAAGCCATTGATATAAAAACAATAATTCAATAATAAGACATTAAAGATTAATTTTTAAATTATGCCCTGAAATAATATGGCATAAACCAGGGGTGGGCAAACTTTTTGTGTGGCGGGCCACATTGACAAATGTAAAGGTATTGGGAGGCTGCATGTATATTACCCGGTATGTCCAATTTTTACATGTCGATAAACATTTCTCTATATTAAAATCGGTAAATTCGCATTTTATCATTACATGACAAAAGTCAAGAACTGTTTAAAAAAAATGAAAATTAGAAAGAAATTTGGTCAAAAATGTTAAAACAATCGTAAGGGTACATGAAATTTTGTAAAATTCAACAAAATTACTTAAAGTATTTTTTAAAATTTCTAAATGCCTTCAGGGCCCCATAATATCAGCTGCTGGGCCACATGCGGCTCACAGGCCGTAGTTTGCCCACCCCTGGCATACTCTTTCACTAACTTTGATGACAATAAAGACTAAGCGTGCATTTTTTTTGCACCAATAGTGAAACAGGAAATAGTAATGCTTAGCTGCATGTATCTCCTGAGCACCATTCTCAAGCTTGGGAACTGCACTCTCAAAATAAATTAAATATACATTTAAGATTTGGAAATGAATACCCGGGTGAGGGTTTATAAAACCATTTTAAACAATAACTTTTATGTATCCTTACCGGTACCTTACAAGTTGTACAATAAATATTAAAAAGGTTACTTACTTCTATATAAATACAAGAGCTACAGTTCTGTAAGCTAGCTTAAAACATGCAACAAATGAAATGGAATTTTATTATATTCTATGGTTAATTAGAAATTGAATCCACTTCAACTAAACTTTCAATTTTTTTTTTCCACTACAGGTATATTATTTCTGAACAAAATACAGTTTTTCTTACATTCATGATTCAAAGACATAATAATCAGGACAAATCTACTTATATCTTTTGATATTTTTGTAACACCCCTTATTTAAATAATTTTTAACAACTAAAAGCACATCAAAATTTATACAGTGTTATGTTATGACTATGAGCTTCCTTTCAGGTATCTGTGATGTCAGAAAAAACTCATGGATCAACCAAAGATTTCAAAGATCTAGATGCAGAACTCCCACAAAAGAAATATGGAGCTCGCCCTGAGCTCACTACAAAGCAGAAACTGGAGCTGAGTAAAGCATTTGGCATCTTTGACCCTAGAGGCAGTGGGTTGATTGAACAGAGGGGCTTTATGCTTGCTATGAGGGCTTTGGGATTTGAACCTAAATTTTCCCAAGTGGATGAGCTCATTGGTGAGATTTGGGAATGATGAGAACTTTTCAGGGAAAACAATAACATTCAATTATTATAATTATTAATTTAACTAACCAGTTCTGGTATTTTCATAATTTCATAGAAGCCTGAAGTAGAGTATGGGTATGTTAAAAAAATTAACATCACTATACAGTGTAGTCATGATTTTAAAAAAGGCAACATGCACCACCGGAGGAAAGCCATATGTATTTGTTTTCAAGTGTGGAATTTTTAAGAGCATAATTAGTTAAATTAATCATAATGGTACAACCGTGTGTTACAATTTATAACAGAAGTAGTCAAACTGATTGCAAAAAAAAATTAGCTTCTAATGATACAGGCCTACACTTATTTTTGTTTATAATTATAATATAATAATACCGGCACTAATAGTTAAAATGACAATAGTGAAGTCAAATTTTAGGTAGTTTTTCAAATAGTGTATCATATTAAATTAATTTTTTTTCTCACATAGACCAACTTGTTTTCAATTATTTTTTCTTGAAAGCTAAAGTCACTGGGAGAGCTGTTAATGAAACCTTAGACTTTAAAGACTTCTACAATTTGCTCAACCTGGTAATGACAGGAGATGACTCAAAAGATGATGTTAAAAAAGCATTCAAAATGTTTAGCTCTCCTGAGACTGGGGTTATCTCCTTAGAGAACTTAGAGGTGAGACCATTTAAATGTTTGATTTACAAATTATTATAATTTACATGTTCCAAGTGAATATTTCCAGGCTTACACACTGATTCGGGTTAGGGAGGGTACAACTGTGTAGTGTGAAATCACATATTACTTCATTTAGAAGACTACTTTCATGTAATATACTCAACGTTGTTTTCAAAGTGACCATTTTTTCAAATGTCAAACCAAAACATTGAAAAATATTTCAAATTTAAAACCAGGGCATTTAAAATTGTTTTGAGTGCCATGAATTAAAAAACCAACAATAATTATTTGTGGTTACATGGAAAACTGTCTGTGGCGTTCTTCAGAAAACAATATTATTATGGTATAGTTATGCCATTTTGGATGAATTATATGCATTTTTTGTTGTGTTATTTATTTTTTCCTTGATATCATATCAGATGCAGTCCTACATTATCTTTCTAAAGATCAATAATTTATTATTTTGTAGCCTTACACTTACACCTTACCGGGTACAACTCACGATTAAAAGGACTAATTCCCGAAAACCAGTACCCGTACTGTATCGTAAAACAAAAGTATGAATGGTCACCTTAATACTGTTACTGGTACCGTATTAATAATTATGAGGACTCAATGGATTTGTAACAGGTACATTTCTGCAGCCTGCAGCCCTCTTTAAAAAAAAAGTGTGTAAGAAAAATGAGATCATAGATTTTTTTTAACATGACATTTAAAAAACATGCATATACTCTCTTCCTATTAACAGGCAGTAAGTCATGAGCTGGGTGAGGATATATCCACAGAAAAATTACAAGAGATGATTTCCTTTGCTGATAAAAATGGGGATGGAGTTATCGACCTCCAAGAATTTATTGCAATGATGGAAAGGCCAATGTTAGAATAAAATCTTTAAGAACTAAACATTATGAATATTTACAGAGAAATACCGGTTATTAAAATTATATTCTCATAGTGGTATTGGCATACACACATTTTTTACAACCCTTTAACAATAGACAAATACTTTATAATGTATCTTATTTCCTTGGGGATTTTCTAGAATTAAATTAATTTGTATAATTTTTATATATTATTAGTATTAGTTTTGCTCAAGATGATGATATTGACTTTGAGCGATGTTCAAATGCTAGTGAAATGTTAAAATGCTAAATTTGTAGTCCTTTTATTTATATAACATTTTTAAAAACCCAGATGAATAAAATTGTTTTAATGCAAACTGAATTTTTCAGAGATTTATTAATTATTTGGAAATTTGAACAATTATTCAGTTTATTTTTTTATCATATACCAGTACCCATACTGGTACTGGTACAAATGTCTGAATATGCGGATGATTCTTTCTTGCCAAATGGTACCTGCAAGTGACTAGGATGAGAGCTGAAAACATTACTGGGATTTAAAAGGAGTAAGCCTTTTTCTGTGGAATGATTTATGCCAACCACTGGTGCATTTAATGAGGAATGGAAGTTAATTGAAGACAATTCGGCTGCAGATTGCTGTGTTCCAGTGGATTTAAGGCTTTCATGCATAGTGGATGATGATGAGCATCTGTTGGTTGTGTCACATTAACAAATAAAATGAGTTTGGTGTGTCAATTAATTGAGAAATTATAGTTATAGCTGTAGACTTTTGGTTTTCCATCATATGCATTAACATGATTCCCTTGGCATGTAGAACCGTCATCTGCATTGTAATTGTAATAAGTATGGGGAGTGCTTTGAGAAATGTCTTGGCTTCTTGTGTTACAGAGTGTGAAATTCCTCTGTGGTGTTAAAACATCTGTAGTTGGAACTGGAAGCTGACTTTGCATCATTTCAGCCCTATTTGTTGAAGATTCATGACTGTCTGCTATGACAGGAACCAGCCATTCAGCATCTCTTGAATTTAAAGCACTTTTAACATGGGTTGCATGGCAACTCCATATTTTTCAAAATGTTAAAGCAATATCCCTTCTGTTAGTTTTCTCACAAGCCTCCTTGCAGAGTTTGTGAACAGATGTTACATTGTCTGATGGTGAAAGTTGAATTTTTTTTTAGTCTTTGAATTCTTAGAGGATCTATAAATGGGGGTGCCATGTACAGATGCATATCTAGAGAAAGGTAAAATTTAATAATAGTAAGTTTATTTTCTTTTGAAATTGTAATTCGAAATAATGAAAATTATTAGTTATAATTAAGAGTAAAGGTGAAATACGGTACAACATTGATTAAATATATTGAATATTTTTTCTAATGCTGAAAGATACATCTTAAAGAAATACAAATATTTAAATAAAATTATAACCACTTAATTGTTGACTGTATGGCGTGGTAAGGTTTTCTACCAACATTCCCATGCTGATTGAAATATTTCTTAAGATTATTTGCGTATTTGCCAACAATATTGTTAACCAGCAAGAAGCAGCAGTGGCAGACTTTCAAGTTAATTAAACAATAATTAAATATCTTCCGCCCTCTAGCTTTGCTGTTCTTTGTTTCTCTATTGGTTACGACGGTACTTTCGAGCAGGCCCATAATGAAGAAATCTCCATACTGACGATCCAACAGGGTGATTTCCATTCAGTGCTTGGCTATATCCTTGATAATAAGTTCTTTCAAGCATGAGCACTTTCCTGATTTCTTACAGTCAATCACTTTTTTTATGATTTCAACTGATGTATCTGATATTTTTCATTGAGACTAAAAGATGTTAGAACTATTTTTTCATGTGGATTGTCGTATCGTATTGCTACAGCCATTGAAAAAGCATTTAGGTCTTCTGCATACCAACATGACTGGGCCTTCTATAACTTTAAGTTACTACTAGATGGTTGCTTGGTTTTCTTTAGTCCTATGCTGTTTTCTGTTAAGGAGGTACTATTCAAGCATTTTTTAGGTCCACCCTTTTTTCTCTTGACTTGTGCCTCATTCACACATAAAGTAATAATACAGTTCTTTTCATGAGGCATTTCACATTCAAAATCCAATGAAGCTTTTTCCATCTCTAAAGAACAATGGTTATCCATAACTCTCGAGATAAAGGCTGACGAGTATACATATTTTCCAATTTTAATTCCATGTAGTATTAGTATGCTTGGATTTCAGCATACCCAACAAAATTCTGGCATTCCTATTTTTAAATCAGGGTAAACAGCCTTACTATTTTCTGTGAGCAACAGATACAAAGTTGGACAAAGAATTTACAAACACCTGGGAAAAAAATATTTGAACATTTTGTAATCTTAAAAAATATTTCTTGGTGTTCAAGTTCAATGTATATTTAAATATAATTATAGATGGTAGGTTGTTTACATCAGTATGGCCAGCTAAGCTGATTTTTTAGCCTATGGTCCAACTAAAACAAGCCATTTATGTTTTATAAGACTTGATTTTTAATTAAATGTCGATTTACATCAAAGAATGTTTTCACCCTTAAGCTTTTAAACAAAAATGTAATATGTGCAGTTTCTACTGAATTTGTGTTGAGAGTGCCCTCATGTGGTTTTTAAGACACGTGATTACTGATGTATGCAGTAACAGTACATTATGTTTAGAGAGCATTTATAAACTCAGTAAAACAATACACTTTTAATTTTTCAGTGGGATTATTATTTCTTTAAGGACAGTAATGTGATATAAATTACTTTGTCGCGGGTAAGTAACCTTGAGAAATAATAACAAATTGAAAAAAATCTGTCTTACTGGTAATTAAAAAAAAATAATGTAAATACATATTTTATTTTTAAAATATCATGTTGGTTTTGATCCCCCTCAGCAAAAACATTTAAAAGGGTTAAGCTACCCGGTATCTAAATGTATTTATTTGTGTACATAAGTAGAAAAAGAAAAGACAGAAGAATGTGATGCAAATGAATAGCATCTGAATTCCAAAATATTGAGATAAAAATTAGTTGCTTAGGTGAAAACGCTTTACGTAAATACCGGTATCAAAAACTCAAACCAATTCTGCCTTACAATTACAATAAACATTACTATACAGCATTGTAAATATAATTGTTTACAAATTACATCTAAGTTTTAGTTTATTAATGGATTAACCAGTAATAGGAAGACTAAACACACTTAAAAAAAAAACTAAGAAATAAATTTCAATGACTAAATTTTATTTAAAAATGTAATTCAGACAATTGAGCAATATTTACAATAATTTGAGAACAAAAAAAAAATATATCATATAAACATATTTCACATAGTAATTGGACATCAATTCATGGCATATGTACTGACAAAGTGAAAAAAATGGATTAAAATACCCTTATATTATTTTCTACTAATGTTAATAATTGGTTACCAGTAAAATTACCAAAATGATAATTTCCACCCCAATTGAAGGAAAAAATGCTAATCCATCAAAAAAAAAAAAATAATTCACCCTTACATCCACTTATTAATCATTCACAAATTCTGTGTTTTTTATTCTGTCAGAAACAACAATATTCTAAAACTTAAGTATGTTTTAGATATAATTTAGAATATAAAATTTAATTTCCTAATATTATTCTTTTATTTTCTGGTAGATACCCTGTAACTAACTTTTTAAAAATAAAATTTATCTGAATCTCACTAATGCTTAAATCAAAAGTATTACAAAATTTAATCTTCTAAGTCTAATTCTAGATCCTCTATTTCATCAACAATCTCCTGTTTTTTCCCAACTTTTTCTAACTGTTCCTTTTCTGGATTCTTCAAAGAACCACTCTTAATTTTAGCTTCCAAGTCTTCTATCTGCCGTAACTTCTTTTTAAGTGATTTTACTTTCTTTGAAATCTCTTCCTGACTATTTTTAGTGACTGTGTTGTTAGGCTTTGGTGATGAAAGACTTGTATTTCCCAAGGCAGCTGTGATAGTCTCCTCAACAGATGCATTGCTGCTTGTGTTTTGCTGCTGTTTTCTTTTCTCCTTACGCTTGGCATTCTTTTTGGCAGATTTAGACACTGATGATTCAAGTGCAACTGGTTCTTTGTTTCTAGCTTGTTTCAGCCTCTCTACATCTTCAGGACTAAGCCCTATAGGATAATCCGGCTTGCTCTTGGCCCACTGTGTTCCTTTTGTTTCATATCTGAAATTTGTTTTTAATACTTATCATGCATATTAATTGGGCTAAAAATAATCATCCAAAATATTTTAAAATTATAAAAAAACAATATCGGTATAGAAAAGTCTTAATAAGTGGCTGCAGATTTTTTAAACTTTATTGTGTCAAACTTTGTCAACAAGACAAAAGCTGTAAATTACAGCTTTTTTTATGTTGGCAAAGTTTGAAATCCATATCAAATCTATATAATATATGTGGTAGTGTGGTGGTTTAGGGTTGACTTAGGTGACAACGCCAAAAACACTGGTAGTGTAAATTGACCCTGCTCGCAGCGCCAACAACTGTAGCCGAGTGGATGACGTTTAGCTTACAGTTTTTAAATAAAATCAAAATGAAACAATCAGGTCTTGAGGACTATAGCTTTTTAATTAATGCTCTACTAGGATGAAAACAAGAAAGAGGACACTATGAACTATGGAGAAGAAGCCTATGAAGAAAAAGGGAAAGAAAAAGGAAAATATCTGAAAATAAACAAATAGTACAGGTTAACAATGTCCTGACTAACAAAGCTAATAATAAACATATTACATAACCACGTAATTACATGTGGCGACAACATATACTTAACTAGAAAGCATGATAAATGATACGTAAGTAGTATTGGTTCATACACATGGCAAAGATAATTATCTTGTACTACGAATGTTTTAACTATAAAAGAAACCACGTGCAGTGTTTAATTTGAAACACGTGCACAGTGTTAATGCTACACACAGAACCAGAGTGCGATGTGAGGGCTA